CGTGGGTGAGAGTTCTGGAGGGAGAGGCGGCCAGCCCTGCCCCTGGGATGCTGCTAACTGTGACCTGGGACAACGGGCTTGCTCCCTGGGGTGTCCTCGTGGTAGTACGAGGCTCTATTCAGTCCTTTGACAAATATTTATTAAAGGCTTAGAGTAGAATTGGCAGATAAAAGCAAGTAAGAATAAATAAATGAATTTTAGATAAGGTGGTTGAAGGTGACAGTGGCCATTTGGACATCATAGCATAGAGTTGGCATGTGAACCCTTGGGTAAAAAGAGAGTTTACCCGATGAGAGAGGGCCCACAGAGAAGGGAAGAGGTACGGACACGGCCCAGGGGTGCACACTGCCCTGGAAGTCAGGGAGGAGGGTGGAGGGTACCAGGGTTGGGGAGCCAGAGAGAATGGGAGGCAGCCATGAGCCAGACAGCCCTGGGCTCTGAGCTTCCTTATTCCAGAGATGCCCACCCATCTCGCAGGTTCATTTACCACCACGTATTCACCAACACAAAGGAGGACGTGAAAAACATTAAATGGAAGCATTTCTCAGCGAGTCTACATTGTTAGTGGGATTTTCATCAGCCAAGAAAAAATTTAAATAAATCAATTTTCCAACCAGAAACTGCTTTCAGCTCAGGGCTGCCAGAGAGCCAGGCATTCACACCCATTCCTGAGGCATCACTGGCTTCCCAGGGAGCCTCCCAGACCCCATGCCCAAGAGTCTCCTGTACATTATCTGTTGCTTTCATCCCGTAGTAGCTCTGCCTCCCTCAGGAAAGCACAGTGTCCCAGCTTAGCTGATAGTAAACTGCCACCTGCCCCCATAGAAATGATTACCGTGAGCCAAAAAGACTTTGGTACTTGGCATTAGCTGGTGGGGGGGCGGCCCACAGGGTTAATTCTGCCTCCCAAGCCTGATCTCCCCTGCTGGTAGGCAACTTTCACTTCACTGAGGAGGCTCAGTCCACTATGTATCTGGCGTTTGGAGATCAGATTTCACAGCTGGAACCAGAGGTGCCAACCTAACCTGTGCTTCCGTGCCCCCAGCCTCCACTTCTCATCCTCATCCGTATTGAGAAGACAAGAGTATCCCCAAATGACAGCCTTGGAGTCTTAGGAAAATGTGGCTGCTTCCAATTTCTTTTCTCTTTTTGCATGTCTTCATATAGACCTCTCCACTGCACAGCCAGTGTGAATCAGTGACTGGGGGAAATGAGGGTTTTTTTTTACGCAGGGATTAACTTTTCCAGCTATGTGGGGTTGGCAATGTTTTAACGTGTAACTCGCATGGACACACCAATAGGAATTGGTTTCCTTTGAATGTCAGCATCTTAGAGCCCATCTGGTTGTCACCAGGCTAGTGAGCTTTGAAATTTCTTTTTGGGTGCCCTCTGCTCAGACTGGCTGCTGCTTGTTGGTGTCACTTGCAGACAATGGTGAATCTTACGGTTCCTCTGCCACCACTGTCTCCAGGCGTTCTCGTGCCCTTTACAAGAGATGAGCTCGCACTAGATATAAAACATGAGATGGGTGATTTATGATGGGTGACCAGAAACAAATGAAACACTGCCTTGCGTAACTTTATGATGTTTTATTTATATCGTCACAACTCACACAGCCCTCTCTGTATGTTTTCAAAGCACATACAGACAGACAAGATGTGAAAACTGGGTAGAAGCTAAACTTGGATAAGAGCGCAAGTGAACAGCTTAGTCAGTGCCTAGCATTTTCCTCCCTCCGCGTCCTGCGGCCAGCGGCCGGCGGTCTGATGTGAGTGGGTGTGTCAGAGCGGCCCTCTGCACAGGCCTTCTGAATAGAAGACCAGCTGAAGAGTAGAGAAGCACTTTGCCATTACTTACAAGGGGGAGAACAAATCACAAATTCCTTACAGACTTTGTGTAAAATTCCCAAGGTGAGAAGTCTTGGGTTTGAAATAACAGCACCCTGACATTTCTGAAGTGCTCGAGGCTGCATGTGCATGGGGAAGGCAAGATCTGCCTCGAGAAAGACCTGGTCTCGGTTCTAGTTCCACTGCTTCTGAGCTGTACGGCCCTGGGCAAGCAGTCTCCCTTCTGAGCCTCAGTTTGCTCTTCTGTAAAATAGGGCAGCAGCATCATTTTGCTCATAGGAATGTTGCAGTGCCAAACACATTGATCTATGTGACATCTCCTGACAAACTAGAAAGCATTGCATACTATTTTTTTAATGCTTTCCCAGACAGTATTTAACCCCATTAGACTCTACACAGTATTCTTGTTTAACAGGTAAGGAAGCTGAGAATTGTGGATCAGATGTATTACATTATTTGAAGATCATAGATCACTTTTAAAAAATGATACCAATTCTCCTATGACTATTGAAATAGCAGAGACACTTGCTAGAAAACAGCTGTAACTGGGTCGGGAGAACAAGAGGTTGTCCCTCTATCCTGTCCCAGGCCCCTAATGACCTCTGTCTTTGGCCACTTACCATGAGAGATGGTCGCTCAATGCCACACACCCGTGAAAGGCTGAGCCTCAGCCTGGCCCAGCACTTACCATCAGAATTGTTGGAAAATGGATCAAAGATTTAACATAAGACAAGATACAATAAACCTCCTAGAAGAAAACATAGGCAAAACATTGTCTCACATGTATTTCAGAAATATTCTCCTAGGACAGTCTACCCAAGCAATAGAAATAAAAGCAAGAATAAACAAATGGGACCTAAACTTACAAGCTTCTGCACAGCAAAGAAAACATAAACAAAACAAAACAACAACCTACAGAATAGGAGAAAATTTTTGCAAAAGATGAAACTGACAAAGGCTTAATCTCCAGAATATATGAGCAGCTCATATGACTTAATAAGAAATAAACAAACAACCCAATCCAAAAATGGGCAGAAGACATAAACAAGCAATTCTCCAAGGAAGACATACAAATGATCAATAAGCACATGCAAAAATGCTCAATATCTCTAATTATCAGAGAAATGCAAATCAAAACTACAATGAGATATCACCTCACACCAGTCAGAATGGCCACCATTCAAAAGTCCACAAATGACAAATGCTGGAGAGGCTGTGGAGAAAAGGGAACCCTCCTACACTGCTGGTGGGAATGCAATTTGGTGCAGCCACTGTGGAAAACAGTATAGAGATTCCTCAAAAGACTAGGAATAGACTTATCAAATGACCCAGGAATCCCACTCCTGGGCATATATCCAGAAGGAAGCCTACTTCAAAAAGAAACCTGCACCCCAATGCTCATAGCAGCACTGTTTACAATACCCAAGACATGGAAACAGCCTAAATGTCCATCAACAGATGACTGGATAAAGAAGCTGTGGTACATTTATACAATGGAATACTATTCAGCCATAAAAACCGACAACATAATGCCATTTGCAGCAACATGGATGTTCCTGGAGAATGTCGTTCTAAGTAAGCCAAAAAGAGAACAAAAACTGCCATATGAGATCGCACATATGCGGAATCTAAAAAAAAACAGAACATAAATACAGAACAGAAACAGACTCATAGACATAGAATACAAACTTGTGGTTGCCAAGGGGGAGAGGGGTAGGAAGGGACAGACTGGGAGTTCAAAATTTATATATACTGACAGGCATATGTGGAATAGATACACAAGATTATACGGTATAGCACAGGGAAATATATACAAGATCTTGTGGTAGCTCACAGCGAAAAAGAATGTGACAATGAATATATGTATGTTGGACGTATAACTGAAAAATTGTGCTCTACACTGGAAATTGACACAACATTGTAAACTGACTATAACTCAATAAAGAAAAAGCACACAGCAAGGGATGGACTGGGATAGATGAGGGGGTGGGGCTAGCTCAGGCTAGTCCAATGTGACTGGATTGTGAAGTCCAAGGAGAATCTGGACCCTGAAGTCTGGCTTCTCACTGTGGGCAGAAGAGATTCTGATGTGCGGTGAGATATGAGAGCCCCAGACCTTCCCAGCCCAGCCCAGGAAGAGAGGACAGGTAACAGTGGCCAGCGGAGGCCAAACCAGGACTTGCCTAGTCTAGCCAGACACCTGCCTAGTCTAGCCAGACACCTG